GGCTTCAAGGGCTCTTTTCTTCCTTCTAATGATACTGGTAACTTTCGGGTGACGATGTCTGGAATGAGACTATGGAGTCCAAACAAGGGAAATAACCTAGAAAAAAAGAAAAGATGATGAAATTTCCTAGGTTCTGATATTGGAAGTGGTAAGGTAGTTTGACAGTTGGGAAACACTGAACCAAACTACTGATGCATATAGAGTTGATTATTCCAAAGCAGGAATGATATGGGAGGTTGGGTGAAGCAGATGGTCATACAGCTGGAATGCTAGGCTGTATTTCCTGGTGTTCTTTTTATTTTCTGATATTCGGAACAGAACCTAGTATTATGATTATAATGATCATTCTGTCTAGGGCTGGGAATAGTTTAAGCATTATTGCCCCGGGTTTCTTAGGAATGAGTCAGTATAACCTAGTTGTTAGGTCATGTGCTGTACAGTTAAGCAAACCTAGGTTTGCATTTCATCTGGATCAAATCTGGATACAAGTTCAAGATCTGGATACAAAGCAGGTATCCAGCCTTTGCCTAGCCCTAGTGTAGGGTAAAAACCCTGATAATACACATAGAGAAATTATTTGTAACCCTTTTTTGTGGATCCCCTAATATATTCGGTGAGTCCTGGTGTGGCACTGTGGGTTAATGCACGGGATTGCAAAGTCAGTTTGAACCACAAGGTTGACAGTTCAAACTCAGTAGCCACTCCTCAGAAACTCTATACAGGGTTGCTATGGGTCAGAACCGACTCAATGGCACTTAACAACAACAATACATTAGGTATGCTTAGATACCCATTCACTACTAATTGACTTCTTGATTAAGAATCATAAGCATCAAGTTTCCACTTGTTTTAATTTGAACTTCACTCCTCAAAATCCCTTGGGTGGTTCCTTGTTTTCTACCTTTTGTCTGGGACTGTTCTATAGTGCAGTGACAATGTTTTTCAGGTAGAAAATGTGTTCAAAGATTTGATTCTGAATTGTGGCCTTACCTCAATGAACAGACATGCAAAGGTACAAAATTAAAATAGTAAATGAACTAACCTGGAAAGAGCAATCTATGAAATGAGGACTTTCCCAAGAGGACATCTTACTATGTGTGCCTACTATACCATACAGCTCCCACTGTCCACCCCTTCATAGAATATTCAGAATCGATCTTAACAGACTGGTGGCTGCTCAGATACAACTGTGGCCCCACGCCCTTGACATCTCTAGAAGAAAGCACGGCTACCAATTACCAATTGCTGTCACGTCAACTCCTACTCAAGGTGAACCTATGTGTGTCAGAGTAGACCTGCACACCATAAGGTTTTCAGTGGCTGATATTTTAGAAGTAGATTAAAAGATTAGACATTTCTTTTGAATGTCCTTGAACCTCAAACATTTTGGTTTGCAGCTAAGCACATTACTATTTGTATCACCCAGAGACTCCAACAGAGCATGGCTATCAGAGGCAAGATTCTCATGGTCACTTGATTATGTGCCGTGGAGTCAGTTCTAAGGCTGTAAATCTTTACGGGAGCAGAAAGCCTATCTTTCTCCCGTGGAACAGCTGGTAGTTTCAAACTGCTGACCTTGCGGTTCGCAGCCCGATTCGTAACCACTATGCTACCAGAGCTCTTTGCTTAGAACCCTGAAATAGTGACTTGTAACTGCAGGGAAAGTATAGGGACTCCATACTAAATGTCGTACCTGGGGAACTTTGATTTCGTAACACTGGCAATTCCAAGATTCATGGAATTTCTTCTCCAGAATTCAGCTGAACTCCAAGCTTTAAAGGAATGTGCTTTTAGAACTGAATGAAGTTCTCAAGCTCTACTTTGAAAAATCGATTACTTTCTTTCCCACAACCTGAATGCCTGAAAAGGGTCTGAGTCCTTGGCCAAAGTGTTTCCTTTTAATAGTTAACATGCTTAGCTGCTCACCAAAAGGTTGGAGATTTGAGTCCATCCAGGTATGGTGCTATAGAAAAAGCACTGGACTGCTTACCACTACAAGCCCACCAGCTACTCCTTGGAAACCCTATGTTGTTGTTGTTAAATGCCTTAGAGTTGGTTCTGAATCATAGTGATGGTGTATGGTTTTCAAGAAGAGACTGATAGGCTTGAACTGCCAACCTTGAGACTGAAAGTCTAATATTTATCCTACAACACCAGAAAACCCACAAAGGGTCACTATGAGTCGGAACTGACTCGAGTAGGAACTGACTTGACAGAACTTAACAGCAACAAGAGGTACCTCAGGGGAAAGGCCTGGCTATCTCCTTGTGCAAAGTCAATCACTCTGGAGCACAGTTCGACTCTGACATACAGAGGGTCACCATGAGTTCAAGTCAACTCAACAGCACCTGGTTTCTTATTGATGCCGTTTTTAATTTTAGAATGGAGAAAGGTGAGGATAACATTTTTAAGAGTAAAGTTTAAGTGCTCTAAAAGTAATCACATTAGAAGTTCCTGGATAGAGTGGAGGAAAATGTGAATACAACTAAATATCATAAAGAAATACCTGGCTTGCTAGTCATATAGAGATTGGTGGAAGCCCAAGACTATAACCTTTGGTCACCCTTCAGGTCAGGAACTGAAATCACTCCTGTTGTTCAACTTTCAGCCGAACAATAATAGATATATGTTGTTGTTTAGGACCATCGAGTCAGTTCCGACTCATAGACTCTATATAGTGTTTCCAAGAACAGCTGGTGAATTTGAACCACCGACCTTGCAGCCCAGTAGCCCAGTGCTTATCATACCAACAGCACCACGCATATCACATACCAATCAATCATTCGAGATCAAAGGGGCAGCATTTATCTTAAGACAAAATCTAGACAGGTAAAGAAAGGTGGAGGAATGGAAACAAGAAACCCAGGGAAGATGTGGGATATGTGATGTTAGTTACACTGAGGGGATTTCAGTCACTGGGCAGAAATGATGTGTATGGTTTGAATGAAAAACTGATGATCTACTCTGTACACTTTAACTCAATTCACACACAAAATTTTAAGAAAAGAAACATCCAGAAGGCAGAAGAAAATAAGAATTGGTGGTGGCAAATAATAAAAGGAAAACTGATGATGAAAAAAAAAAAAACAAAAACAAAGCCAGACTCACTGGTCTGACAGAGATCAGAAGAGCCATGGAGACTAGAGTCCTAAGACATTCTGATAGCATAGAACTGATGCCACTCCGGAGCTGACCTTCCAACCAAGTTATAAACAGGCCTATAAAATGAACATTCACACCCATGAGGAAGCAATCAATTATACCAGACCAAAAGGGCAACATTTGCTCAAAAGCAAAAATGAGGAAGGAGGAAGGGGCTGGGAAACCAGATGAATGGAAGCAGAGAACCCCGGGTGGAAATGAGAATCTGACACATTGCGAGGATTGTAAACAACATCAAGGAATCATTTGTGTGTCAATTATTGAATGGAAATCCAATTTACTATGTAAACTTGCAACTACAGTGCAAATTTTTTTAGAAATAAGTTTTAACTTCTCACACCCTAGTCTGCTGGCCTCCTCCAATTTCATCCTGCCCAGTGGTCTTCAGGCACCCCAACTAATGAATGACCCAAAAAAGCAGCAGTCATTAAAAGAGCAAAATGGTTATTGTGAAATTTAACAGAACCATATGAGTGATAATAAAAGCATATATTGAAAACTTGAAATTAGTAAAGAGAACATAAGCCTGCTTTGAAGCGATAGAGTCTGTATTCTAGATATTCAAAAGGTTGCTGCATCCAACTTTCTTCCCTTTTTAATGAAGCTCTCAGAAGCCATGGCCAAAGGTGTTCTACATGGATGCCCAAGGATACCCTTCAACAACTGAGGCAGCTTTCACTGGGCTCATCCCTGGGAGCCGTTTGTCTGGACAAAATTGGATGGCATTATCAAAGCAAAAATGAGATTGTTTTTCAAAGTGGAAAGTTTTGAAATAAAAAGTAGTAGCAATAATAGATGAGAGACCATCTGACAGCATTCTGCTGCCTGAACAGTTTTAAAGAGCCCCAAGTTTGCAACAAAGGACATCCACAAAACTCCATCCACTACCTTGCATGCCTGGATTTACCTTAAAATACACACTTCACTTTCAGCATCTGATATGGGGATTAAACTTTTAAAGTGCTAACACTGTAAGCCTGAGATTGTGCAAACTCTACTACCAGAATTAGACATAATATCATTAGGGATGGAGACCAGCAGGAAAAACGTCCCTGAGAGCAACTACACTGCCATTCCAGCAGACATCAGTCAGTGTGGATGGGCATCTGCCTCTGTCCACTCCAGTGAGCATATGTGATTCAGATGTCCAGAAGGCCAGTTGTTATTGATGTTAGCGCCGTCTAGTCAGTGCCGACTCATAGTGAACCTGTCAAGGGTTTCTGAGGAGCGACTGGTGGGTTTCAACTACTGACCTTGCGGTTCAAACCAACCTGCGGTCCAGTGCATTATCCTACAGTCCCATAGCAGGCTCTAGTAGTCAAGAATCAATACATGCGGTGGTGCTGTTTTCTGCTATGTAAGTTTTCCTGATAATTCTTGGGTCTGTTTTGTTTTGTTTTTTAACAATATTTTTTAAACCTCTGCTCCTTCCAGTTTCCTGTTCAATGCAGTAAGTCCCATAGATTTTCTGGCATGTGTATTATTTTAGGATCCATGGGTTGAAAACAAAAGAAACTGATTCTACTGAACTTGTGCCAAAGAGGATGGCTAATAGATTAAAGGAAAGGGCGTCTGAGAACCTAGCAACAGAAACTAACAGGATTCTCTTCAAGAGACCTCCTTCTTAGGGAGCCAGCTTTGTGATGATAGAAGACCAACCATTTTCACATTCCCAAAAGAAAATCCTGCTGTTCCAAGTAGGGTGTTTTGACTGCCAATTCTACCACGACTTCGGGAAATGGGGGATAAAGGGCTACATTGATGGTTTTTGCTTTGAACTATCACATCCACTATGGTAGATAATGCTGACACTCTTAACTTTTCCTGTCCTCTTTCAGTCATCCAAGAAGTTTTTTCCCATCACGTTCTTCGGTGCCATTACCTGGATTGCAGTTTTCTCTTACTTGATGGTGTGGTGGGCCCACCAGGTAAGAAAGGTGTTGGTATTGACACCCGTCTGGCTGGATTTTCTTTGGTTTGGGTTTCCAAGTGTTTGCTTTCTGAAACTGTCCCAACAGTATTAGATCTGACACAGACAAGTTACCTACTCTAGGACTAAAGGAATTTGCCACATTTAACCTTCCCAGCCTTTCCCTGTAACATGAAGTCAAATTGACAAAGTCTCAGATAGCTACAATGAACCTTGGTAGCATAGTGGTTTACGAGCTGGACTGCTAACTGCAAAGTCAGGAGTTTGAATCTACCCGTTGCTCCACAGCAGAAAGATGAGGCTTTCAGCTTCCCAAAAGATTTATAGCCTCAGAAACCTTAGACAGGGTTGCTATGAGGCAGAAGCAACCCAGTGTAGCTGTGGTTAGGGAGGCAAGCCTGAACTGCTTGTTGCCCTCTGAAGCCTGAAGCCAGGCCAGGCCGGTCCTGGAAGGAACGTTGTAGGTCTAGCTCAACTCACTGGCACTTAAGCTCACTCCTTGCACTGCCTTCAGGAACCACTCGCCTCCTGTTTTAAAAACCTTACAAAACTGGTACTTGGGAAAGAAATTGGAGACAAAGTGGTCCCTACATGGAATCTCGGTTTTCTGAAATGATGATGTATTTCACTTTATTCAATGCCTGTCATAATGCTCCTTACAAAATAGAATCCCAGTAATTGTTTGTTGAGAAACATGAATGAAAGAATACTATGCAAGGTTTTTATGTTCTCAAAGATAATAGTCATAACCATTATTTATTAGGTACAATATACCAGAGTCTTGCCAGACCTTTGTCCTTGTAATCATCACAAGAACCCCATATAGCACAAATCCTAGGAGGGAGATACTATTTATTGTTATACACAGTTTATAGAAAAAGAAGTTAAGCTTAGAGATAATTTTTACAAAATAAAATTGCCTAAGATCATATGGGTAATAAATGGCAGGACTTAGATTCTAACTTATGGCTCTGTCTCATGTTCTTAGTCTATTCTATACTCTGCATAAATTCCAAGTTTCACATCTGTACCCTTTGTTTAATTATAGTTTTTAAATTATTATACATCTTAACATAAATAAAACATGCAACCTTCAAGTAGAAGATATATACCAAGAACATATGTGGGTGAAGATAAACTTTTCAACCAAATGGTGCTGAAATAACTGGATTTCCATGTATGTTGTTGTTAAGTTCTGACTCATAGTGACCCTGTATAGATTTTCCAAAGAGTGGCTGGTGGGTTTGAACTGCCAATCTTGTGGCTAGCAGTCCAGTGATTATCCTACAGTGCTACACCAGGACTCCCCCACCACCACCACCATAAAAATGAACTTTGATCCTTACCTCACACCATACACAAAAATTAACTCAAAGTGGATCCTAGTCCTATATGTAAGAGCTAAGCAAAAACTATCAAACTTCTAGGAGAAACTCTGTATGACCATGAGTTAGGCAAAGAATTATCTCATGTGACACCAAAGAATGATCTATAAAGACATGAATAAATTGAAATTCATCAAAAAATTTTAATTTTGCTCTTAAAAAAATTAATTTTTTTAAATGCAAAGACAAATCAAACACCAGAGAAAAATATTTGCACCATATATTCCTGATAAGTGACTTATATCCAGGATCTATAAGTAATTCTTAAAGCTCAGTTACAGGAAGACAAATATCTTCAAGCATCTTATGTTTTAAATGTTGCTCAAGAGACTGCAGAAGTTTCCCTATGTTGTTAGACTCATCAGTCTTAAAAAGAAAAGATCCATAGAATATAGAACAATCACCTCACTCCTCACATTTCAATAATGATGTACCATCTACAAAGGGCTTTTACATAAATTGTCTTTTAATCCTCACAACCACCTTGTCAAGTATGATGCTGTGGATTAGGCATTGGACTGCTAACCACAAGGTCATGAGTTCAAACCCATCAGATGTTCCATGGGACAAACATGAGGCTGTCTGTCCCCATAAAGATTTAGTCTAGTCTAAGAAACCCTAGATAGGGTCGCTCTGAGTCAGAATTGACTCAATGACAGTTGAGTTGTTGTTTTTAATGGATAAGAAATGATCAGACATTGTGCCATTGGCCCAGTTAGCAGTGGATGCAGATAAGCCAGGACTTTCTGCTGCGGTGCCACTGGATGTGTTTGAATTGCCAATCTTTAGGTTAGTTGTTGTTGTTGTTAAGTGCCATTGAGTTGGTTTCAACCCATAGCAACCCTGTGTAGGGTTTCCAAGGAGCAACTGATGAGCTTGAACCGCCAATCTTGCAGTTCATACCGACTTTGCAGTCCAGCACATTAGCCCACAGCGCCACACCACGACTCCATTAGTCAAGCACAAACCTTCTGCAACACCAAAGGAATGACACCTAACAACAACAACAAAGAACCTGCCATGAGTCACACAAGGTGAACCCTGGTTCCCTGGCTGTTATTTTCTCTGTGGCTGCCTCACTAGCTTATAATCCTTTATCACCAAACCCCAAAACACCTACAATCAAGTTCCCCATGGAAATGGTAGAGGCGTAAAGTGTTTGCATGGATTAAAGACACTACAAAACGTCAGGAAAAATGGAGATACTGAGCGTCAGTCCTTGGCCTGGGATGGGGGATGTCATGAAAGACAATCTGCCCCAGGACTTGATGCCACTGTCAGGCAACGGACCCTGGATTCAATAACCCACTGGGCACTATACCTCTAATCTTTCAGCTTCCCTTGCTTAGACTTGGAAAAGGCCATATGGAAGCTGTACACTAGCCCTGAATAGCTCTTTTTTACTTGATTTGGTTTTGTTTGATTCTCACAATAATTCCTGATTCCTCACATCTGAATATCATTAGACTGTAAATTCCTCTTGGCCAATGATTGTGGCTTAGTGGTCTTTGTAATCACAGCGCTCAGTGTGAAAACTCATTAAAAGGTGGTTGTGTTGAAATGTTTGTGGTTTTGCTGATTCTGTGGCTTCAAACATTTCTCTGTTTCCCTCTGTCATCATGTTTAGGTGGGAGAGACAATTGGCATCAGTGAGGAGATTATGGGCCTGACCATCCTGGCTGCTGGCACTTCCATTCCTGATCTTATAACCAGCGTCATAGTAGCCCGGAAGGGGCTTGGGGACATGGCCGTGTCCAGCTCTGTTGGAAGCAATATTTTTGACATCACTGTAGGGTGAGTAGAGGTGCTTCTGTGAAGGGGCAACATGACCTCCACCTCTGGATACGTCTTCTTAGAAGCAGCCTGTGGAGACAAAATCAGGACCTCTTGGCCCAAAAGTGACAAGAGGAAGTAAAGATAGGGAATACCATTCACAGACTCCATTTCCTTTTTCCGAGAATTTACTGAAATAAAAATCATCCTTAGACAGGCAGAGGAGTTCCTGGTTGATGCAAACAGTTGACATGTCGGCTGCTAACCTAAAGGTTAGGCGTTTGAGTCCATTCAGTGGGGAGCCTAGAAAAAAGTCGTGACAAACTTCTGAAAAATAAGCCATCGAGAACCCTCTGGAACACAGTTCTACTCTGATACACATGGGGTCACTATGGGCTGGAATCGATTCCACAGCAACTGGTTAGACAGATACACATAAATGCCTACAGAATGGATATTTTATTAAACAGTGTAAAAGAATTTTATTTCGTTATGAAAGCTTGGTTGTTGTTAAGTGCCACCCAGTTGGTTCCAACCTATAGCAACCCCGTATAGGGTTTCCAAGGAGTGGCTGGTGCATTTGAATCGCTGACCTTGCAGTTGCATGCTGATCCAACAGTGCCACAAAAGGCATTAACTACATGTTGTAGATTTGTATGCCAGAGCCCTGGTAATGTGGTGGGTCATGAGTTGGGCTGCTAACTGCAAGATCAGCAGTTTGAATCTACCAGTCTATCCACGGGAGAAAGATGAGGCTTTCTGCTCCTGTAAAGATTTACAGCCTTGGAAACCCTGTACAAGGTCTATGAGGTGGACCCAACCCCTGGCATATTACCACTACCGTGTGAGATACATATTGAATATTCCGGAGTGATTGAGACACTCGGGTAATTTCACTCTCTTTGTTCTGTATTCTATGTCTAATTCAAGTCTCTCCAGCCTCAATTGAGACATGATTGTAAAGCAGATTAGGACAAGCAAAGGCCCAGCACCACCAATACTTCATTTCCTTCCTTGGAAAACACTGGCCTTTGTTTATCTGTGCTGGTGAAGATTTGCAGGTGTCTTGAAAATCATAAGAGGAGATCCTTTCTTACATTTAAGAGAATGAAGCTTCTTGATATGAATACTAATCTCTAAAGTGGGTTCAATAATGGAGGTGCTGTTGTCTCTACCATTTCATTAAATTTATTAAAAACAAAAGTAGTCTACAAATAACCCTGGAGGGCAGCCTCCTGAGGAAGCAAGATCTGGAGTGCTAACCTTCTCAAACACATCTACTTTCTCAGTGAACATTTTTAATATTGTCCTCTGTCATACGTTGTCATTTGCAAATATATGATACTATCTACTATTTTTCATACGGTGTCTACCATCTGAAGAACACAACAATCCTATGTGATCCAGTCACGGTCCCCAATAAAAACACACTGTGAGGTACAGAGTTGACACAAATGATGTCAGTGCTGCCCCCTCTGTCCAAGAAGCTGGAATTACACCTGTTTCCTGAGCCGTCCCTGTGGAGCCCCGCCCCAACCATCTCCATTCAAGCACCTTCCACTGTCACCGTCAGGGTCACCGTGAATGGCTGCTTGCTCCTCCTTACCTACCCACTCTCTCTCCCTCACTTCACTCCCTTATAGGCTCCCGCTGCCCTGGCTCCTGTTTACCATCATCCACCGATTCCAGCCAGTGGCCGTCAGCAGCAACGGCCTCTTCTGCGCCATCGTCCTGCTCTTCATCATGCTGCTCTTCGTCATCCTCTCTATTGCTCTCTGCAAATGGCGGATGAACAAAATACTGGGCTTCATCATGTTCGGCCTCTACTTTGTGTTCCTGGTGGTCAGCGTCCTTCTAGAAGACAGAATTCTTATGTGCCCTGTCTCCATCTAGCAAGAAAAGCCATATCTTGAACCAAAAGCATGGATGGTCCCTTCCGCTCTGGGCTGTAGGCTCATTAACCTCTTGAGGAGAGGTAGCTAGCACACAACCCTGGGTATTTCAAGTGTCCCTCCTCAAAGGTTGATTTGAGGAGGGATGGCTTTAGCTGGGGCCATCCACTCCATAGGCTACTTTAATCCTTGCCTACTGAAAGGACTTCATGTAAGAGACAAAGAGAGCCGTCAACTGGGGGCTTCTCTCCATTCACCACTGACAGGTACTCCTCACTGGTCGGCGGTACACTGTTGTAATATGCACACAATGACAGAGGCTCTATACATAATATACATATTATAAATATACACACATAACACACATGCCTGCCTGTTCCTGAACTGTACCTCTCCTTCCACACTTAGAGATTAATATATACCTGTATACAAACACAAAGAAAGAAAAAAATATATATTATTTTATATATACATATATATATAAAAGGACAAATGCATCTTTTCAGGGATAGCTCTAGTATATTTATAGTACCTATTTGAAGAGGGGCATCAACCTTCTGTCTCGGCTTTACCTCTCGTGCAAGAGGTAAATTAATGGGATCAATCAGCAAAGGTAGCATTGCTGAGACCTTCAGCTGCCTTGGATTTATATGGATACTGCATAGTAAAGTAAAGAGTTTGGGGGGAAAGGGTATAATATAGGGCTTGATGGAGAATGCCTACAGGGACTCTGAGTTGAATCCTCCAAAGTAATCCCACAAACCAAGCAGGGAAGACTGTCTTCCTAGCCCCAGTGGGATATACTGACTGTTTGAAACTCACAGTTACTTGGGACAGACAGAGGTAAAGCCCAGACTAGCTCGGGGTGGGGGTAGGTGATCAGGGGGGTGGTTGTTTTGTTTTGTTTCTTCTTTATATTGCCCCAGCATGCAAGTAGAAAATATGACTGCAAGCCAAATTAGTGTTATTCGAGGACAGGGAGACTATATCAACTGATCCTGTACTGTTCCAATGCATGTCCCATTATCATCAACAGAGGGGACACATTTAGCTGTGATTATCATTTAGACATATTCTGATGCTAAGGGCTCACATTTAGTCAACATTGCTGCCACAAAGCCCAGATATGTGATTAGAAATACCATCTAGTAGAGGGTAGAATGGGACTTGCCACATAATGGGAATGCAAGAGCACAGTCCTTTAAAGCATCTTCCAATGTGGTCATTCTCTAGTGGAGCTAAATTAACTATGATGAACACGAAGGGAGCTAACTTAACTATGAGAAACACTATTTGGCGTGATGCAGCTTAGAGATACCTGGAAAGGCATCTGTGCACATAGCACATCCCAGGAGTAGTTCCAGGTCCAGTGTCAGGGCCAGCTGAGTCCAGTATGTGGTTAAAGCTCAGGCAACATTGTGTCTTTAGCTCCATCAGAACCTCTTCTAGGACCCTTGGCAGCCTATATTTATCAAGTGTGCTGAAGATTTTACTCCAAAGTTTCTTCACACTGATCTCCAACCCATCTCGCCAAGGTTTTGCTTTCCTGATTTGCTCAGCATTACATGGGATATTACATTTCAGTCATTTGGTAGCCCCAAGTTCTCGCTGATGGATAACTTGTATGATTCTCAGTTCTGTGTAGAAAATAATCTAGCAGGGAGGTTGCAGGAGGGGAGGCAAATTAGATGGATTGTTGTTTTTTTTTTAATATATAGAGCTTTGGATTTCCTGAGTCATGCTTATATTAAAATCCATTGAAAGACAACTCCAAAACCTTAATCCATAAAAGAAAACACTGATAAGCTGGACTTCATTAAAATTAAAAACTTCTGCTCTGCTAAAGACACTGTTAAAGAGTCAAATCAATTGGAAGAGTTAATAGTTGCTATTAGTCACAACTGATTCAACAATGCCTAACAACAGCAAAAACAATGATATGTCTGGGTTGACGCACAGCACTTATGGGGAACAAACACCATCTGTGGTCTTGTCTCCAGTCCGTTCTGTAACTGTTGTCAACTACGATGTCGGTGTGAGCAGAGCCCACAGCTAAATCAGGAGGAAGGGAACCCTGACACCCCAGGTCACATTTGGTGTTCCTTACCCATCCTTACCCATCGTAACTGTTCACACAAAAACAAAAGCACTTCTATGTAGAGGTCCACTGGGAAAATAAGGCATTAAGTCGCTTCACCTAACTGGCTAGCCTTCTAGTCTCTTCAGCTCAGCAGAGTCAGGTTTTCAGATGTGAAAGAACCCTTCCTCCCGTTCATCACCTCATTACGAAACAAGCCAAGACTTTGTGCTCATTCCTTGGTGTGAAAGAGAAAGACTAAGTGAACTTTAGGTAAAGAAAAGCTCTTATTTTTCCTGTGTATTACTTGAAGGGAGCAGAGTTACTTATGATGTGAATATATGAAAGGGCTTCAAAAAGTTTGTGGTCAAATGAAATTCAAAGATAATGGAATTTTTCTACACATGTTTTCAAGCTCCTTTGTCTGTTGCTGACTGGTTATTTGAAAGAAGGTTTTAGTAGGTGTCTCTGACCATCTACCGGTAGACTCGGTAAAGCAAAAAGGTTGC